GTGGGTGGGTGGGGTTAAACTGATCACAGTGGTCACAGTGTCCAACAGTCTCCCTGGATCCACATTTCATTTTGTACATCACTGTGACTGTAGAGTACCTGTCATCAACCAGCAGAGAGTTCAAAGACCATAAAGGAGAGAAACCCCACAGTGACAATGAGGAAACCCTTTACCTGTGCAAACCAAGCTTTAATCTGATGGATGCTCTGGACACGATCTGTTCACTTCGAACCACTCATCGATACAGCTGGAAAAAACAAAGTAACAGCAGAGTGAGACAGACAGACAGACAGAAGAAAGGTGCTAATGAAATCCTCACAATGTTTGTTTTGTTGGATCCGGTGACACCCAGTGGCGCAGGGTGGTCATGACAAATGTGTTTTCATAATACATACAGTATTTTGCAATGTAAAATGTAAACTGTTTAATTAAAAAAGGGAGGCTCAAGAAGTCAATTCAGAGGATCTCCATATCCAAAGTCACAGTTCCCTCTGCATTTGTTCCGCTGACAGTGTTGCAGCTGCATTTCATTAAAAGTAACACAGACACTGAATTTTGCACTAAAAAGACTAACTTCAATCTGTCTAACTCAGACAGCTGAAGCCTCGTGTCAACTTAGATAAACTGGATGTATTTTTTTGACCGAATGAGGACTGTGGATGTTCTCCTCCATTAGAACCAGGGTGTCAATTAGAGCTGTAATGAGTGTTCAATTAATTGATCAGTTGTCAACTGTTAAATTAAATTAATCACCAACTATTTTGATAATAAACTGGTGTCTTCCTCTGTGACAGTAAACTGAATATCTTTGGGTTGTGGACCAACAAGACGTTTGACGACGTCAGCTTGGGTTTTGGGAAACACTGATTAAGATTTTCTACCATTCTCTCGACCAAATAACTAATTGATTAAATGAAAGGTGCAGTGTGTAACATTTAGGAGGATCTATTGTCAGAAATGGAATATAATATTTATAGGTATGTATTACTGTATAAAGCCCAGAACGGACAAACCAAACACTGGCTATAGATAGGACCTTTTGCAGCCACCGTAGTTTCTGGTACACAGGTGCAAACCCAACACAGCTTCAAACCACAAACAGATTGAGTGTTCAAACGATGCCACCCTGCCCCAAACATCATTCCACCACATTGCCTAAATTGGACCCACATACACCCTAACCCTTTTACTTTTTCTAGCTGTGCAGAGATGCAGTTACCCAGGCATTTCGGAGTACCTCACCAAGACAGGGCAGGGCAGGGTTTTAGAACTACAGATCCTATAACCAAACATGGTTGGGGAGTTTTGGGGGCAGCAAAGCATTAAAGACGTTATTTCTTAATTAATGTTATGACTTTTATTGTATACCCCTCAGAAAAGGCCCAGGCCTTGGTGACCTCAGTGGTAGTTTTTATTTTGATACTGGAGAAATAATGTTCAAGTACGTCTTTGTCATATGGAGATGTAACATTTTCCTGAGGGCTTCGTACCCTTTATGGTAGATGCAGAGGCAGGGCAGGCGAGCGATGGTGTCTCCCTGTGTCAGCTCCTCCAGGCAGATTGCACATTCTCCTGCATCCTTGGTCAGGACGTCCTCTGTAAGACAGCAGACACATCACACCACAGACAGTCAGGATCATAATCGAACACTTCAGAAAAGGGACAAAATGAAAATCTGCCTTTAAAACTACTCTACCAGATCAGTAGAGATACTGTACAGCAGTGTCTCCCAAACCTTTTTTTCTGGGGACACACTTTTTTAAAAATGACAAACCATGGCGACCCAATTTTCCATGAGAAGAGCAAATTTGTGCATGAATGAACGTCCCTGAGCATTTTTACTGCTATTTCT